TGTGTGTGTGTGTGTGTGTGTCTGTGTGTGTGTATAGAAATGAAATTAAAATTCAGAAACGTCTATTATACTTGTTTAGAAAAGGTTACTTTTCTAAGGAGACTTACGATATGATTAGACCTTCTGGTTCTCTTAGGCCGAGGTTTTATGGTCTTCCTAAAGTTTATGAGAAGGACGTTCCGTAGAGACCCATATTATCAATGATTGGTTCATCCTAACATTTTTTGGCTCAATAGCTTTTGCATGTCATACAACCGGTTCAAACATTTTATGCTAAATATTGTATACCTGATTCGTTCACGTTCGTTGAACGTTTACAGGCCATACAGCTTTGCCCTGATACTGTTTTTATGTGATCTTTTGATGTGTCCAGTCTGTTTACTAATGTACCATTAAAGGAGACTATTAATATTTGTGCATACATTTTATACGAAGGTGACATTGCTCCACCTCCATTTCCTAAGGATGTATTTATGGAACTTATGTCACTTTGTACCAGTTCAGTGGAGTTTAGTTTTGATAATGTCATGTACAGTCAAGTGGATGGGGTCCAGATGGGTAGTCCCCTTGGCCCTGCGTTGGCTGATATTTTTGTGGGCTAACACGAGATGTTGCTCTTTGGTATAGTGTCTAAACCGCTTGTTTAAGTCAAATACGTCGATGAGACTTTTGCAACTTTTTCTAATGAAAGTGAGGCTGTTAACTTCTTTAATGAGGTTAACTCCTTACACAAATATTTGTCCTTCACTATGGAAGGGGAGAAAGGACAATTGTCTGCCCTTTTTGGACGTTTTTGTTGGGTGTAGTAGAGGGGGTTTTCTTACAAGTATTTATCGCAAACCCACCTTTACGGTCCTCTGTTTGAATTGGCGTTCGTTTGCACCTACATCAAGGGAAATCAATCTTATTAAAACCTTGGTGTACAGGGCGCTCAAAATTTGTTCGCCTACTAGATTGGACCGTGAATTTGGGAACATTAGGGAGATTTTCCTCAGTAACGGCTATCCGGAGGCCCTTATTGACTATATTATTAGTAAGAAGACTAAGGAATTTCATTCCCCTAAAGTCCAGGGGCCTTCTAAATATCCGGTGTATTTGAAGATTCCCTGGATTGGGGATAGGGGCCAAGGCTTAATTAAGCAAGTTAACAAGTCGGTTTCTGGTTGTTTTCCATCTGTTGTTTTGACAAAGACGATGGACATAAAAAACAAGTCTAATCAAAACAGCTTTGTCAAATTGAACTGAATTGTATTTTAATGAATATTGTCCCGAAGAAGGTTTATTAAACCGAAACGTCAGACGTCGACATTTCATTCATTTTAAACAACATAATTGCATTTAAGCATTTTTGTTTGTTTTTTCCAAATTTTTCTTCATATATATATATATATATATATATATATATATATATAGATAGATAGATAGATAGATAGATAGATAGATAATATATTCATCACCGTCTGATCCATGCCCGAAGGTAATTATGAGCCCATGTATCCATTAATATCACACCATCAGTCAGGTATAACTCTCAAGAACTCATTTTTTTTATAGTTAAATTTCGTTATATATGACCTACAAGGAAATTTAAATAAATTTTTACTTAGTTTTTCCAGCGTTCTTACATTTTCCGTTTGGTGGGAATAACGCGTTGCAAAAATTGTCCATTAATTAAAAGAAAGGTTGCTGCCCAAATTTACATTATACTTTATATCCATAAATATTTCTAGAAATAATGAGTAAAAATTTTTTATGAATGATGTAACCTTCACCGACTCCAGAGTTTCGTTGACGGAACAGTCTGTGCACTCGTCAGGGGATATCGTTTTTTTTTTTTTTCTTTTTACGCTATGATTGGTGCAGGATTTTTCTGTATTGTTTGTGTTCGCGTGTATATTTGCGCGCGTGCAGTCATGCGCCGGTCAGTGCGAATGTGCATAAGTACAGCGTGTCGTGATCTTTTGTAATATTCTTCGTTTTTCATTTTCACTTTAGTCTCGCTTTTTAGTCCTATCTCTTTTTTTCGCCCCTTTTCTTTCTTTTCTATCGACAGTTTCGTTTGCGGCGAATTGTGGTAAAATCGCCACCGCTTTTAATTTTGGGGGCGTTCTTTTTTATTTTCTATTTTCTTTAGGTTTTTTACATAAATAATTGCAATTAATGCTTAAATGATAAATATTATACATACATACATACATAAATACATACATATATACATATATATATATATATATATATATATATATATATATATATATATATATATATATATATATATAATAAAACATAATAGACATTCGTTGCTTCTTATATTTAAAATATATATTTACATATTTAAAATATATAATTATTTGTTTGAATGATGATCTGCTGCCCCAAACATATATATATATATATATATATATATATATATATATATATATATATATATATATATATATATATTACATAATTTCAATTACAAAATATATTACATAATTTAATTTAATATATTACATAGTTTAATTACAAAATTAAATTGGAAGCTTTCATCTTCCATTTTTGAAACATGGTTAGAACTGTGTAGCGAAAATAGCCATATTTTAAATCAATTAATTTATATATATATATATATATATATATATATATATATATATATATATGAAGAAAAATATACAGAAAAAAACAAACAAAAATCTTAATATGCAATTATGCTGTATTAATGTTAATATAAAGTCAACGTCGGACGTTTCGGTCTATTTTAGACCATCTTCAGTACATTTTCATTAAACATAATTAACATTAGAACATATAAAATTCACCATGAAAAGACGATGGACATAAGAGCACAACTAATCCAAACAGATAACTAAAGTATGTCCTGATGATGGTCTAAAATAGACCGAAACGTCCGACGTTGACTTTATATTAACATTAATACAGCATAATTGCATATTAAAATTTTTGTTTGTTTTTTCTGTATATTTTTTTTCATACTGTTGGATCTATATCCATATATTTGCTTACATATATATATATATGCTAGGATCTTCCTTGAATAAGTTCTAGCTGTTTTTCATGAAAAGTGATGTTTTATTTACAAAAATTAGTAACAAACATGTAAATGGGAGTATTGTCCATCGCTAGCCACTAGTTTCTCTTAACTTTCAGGAAGCATCTGAATTCTACGTCAGAATAGCGACACGTCTTTTGAGGCTAACCACGAGTCGACCCATTGATTTTTATCTTGAAAGAAACAAGTGATAATCAGACGGGGCAATGCCTGGTGAATATGGCGGGTAGTGTAGGATTACTCATTTAAGCTTTTTCAAGTAGATTTTCACCCGTTGTGCAACATGTGGCCTAGTCTTGCTATGTTGCAAAATCACTTTGTCGTCTCTCTACTCGTACAGCGGCCGTTTTTTCTTCAATGCCCGGCGCAAACGCATCAGTCGATAGCATTCTCCCGTGATTGTTTCGGTCTGTTTGTCAGCTCATAATATACTACACCCAGCTGATCCCAACTAATGCAGATCAGATACTTCTTTGCCGCCGATGTTTATGCATGACCGGTTTTCCCCCATGACCATCGACGCTTTAGGATATCAAAGTGCATCTAGTTTTTATCACCGGTCACGATACGATGCAAAAGACCTTTCCTTTTCTACCGGTGAAGGACTGTTAACACGTGACAAGACGCCGTTCGAAGTCTTTCACTTTCAACTTTTACGTCACACAATGAACTTGCTTTTGAATCATTCCTAGGGCTTTCAAACGTTTCGGAACTGTCGTGTGATCAACTCCTGATCATTCTACAAGTTCAGCTTGCGCCTGACATGAGCCTTCATGAAGTAATGTCTCCAACACTCGTCTTCAAACATTTTCGATGTGCTAGAGGGATTTTATTAATAACATGATTTTATTTAGTTTCATGTAAATAATTTTATGTCATATTGTATATATTCATTGGGGTTGTTTTTACTTGTTATATATTATCCCGCCCGCCACAGACATTATTTGTACATATGGGGTTTAATTAGGATTCTCATTGAGACAATAAGGTATTTTAGTTGGTTGTAGTAAGAAAGGTAATTATGAATGTGGCGTTTTAGTGGCAGGATTATTGCTTCGTATGTTTGGGTCAGTGGTTGTGGCTAGCTAAGTTTAAATTAAGGCAACTGATGACCATCCTTTTTCCCTAACCCCCCTCTTGGCCTTGTGCCACATTTACTGTAAATACGCTAATAAATATTCAGAGACGAACATCAAAATCATTATGCTTGATACGTCTAAACCAATCTCTGCACGTTGCTTTCGACAGAAATTCGTCGCTGTAATCTTAACAAGAATTCTGTGAGCTTCAGCTGCAGATTTCTTTTGCATAAAGTAGTGCAGTAAAATTCCTCTCAAATACATTTTCTCTGACACGAAATCTAACATGTTTAACGCTATTTATGAAATGACATACACTGAATTTCAAGCTTGCTTATAGTACTTCCATATAGTTGCGTTACCATCTGAAACTACATGCACGTATTTCTGGGAAAGGCATCTCTTGGAAAACAGCGAGAACTTATTCATAAAGGTCATATATATATATATATATATATATATATATATATATATATATATATATTTTCTCTGTGGTTTGTATGTTCCCTTGTTTAGGTTGAATGTTATATCTAAGTAATTTACTATGTCTATTGTTAATCCTAGTGTTTGCAAGATTTTTATTATTCACTTTACTATTTTTTCTGTAGTTCTGCCGTTGTAGTCTCTTAGTGTTAATAGAGAATTCATACATTTTTTGGAATTTATTGTCTATAACTTTCTAAGCACCATCATAGATACTCTGGGTTACATCAAAGTTCTCTTTCTTCTTCTTCTTCTTCTTATTATTATTATTATTATTATTATTATTATTATT